GGTACACCCTACGGTATACACTGTGTCCTCTACAATATCTATCTAGGTACACCCTACGGTATACACTGTGTCCTGTGGTTACTAACTATAGGGTACACCCTACGGTATACACTGTGTCCTCTACAATATCTTTCTAGGTACACCCTACGGTATTCACTGTGTCCTGTGGTCACTAACTATAAGACACACCTGTACATTAACTATAAGGTACGTACAACTAGCCTGGTAATTATGTTCATTGTGGATTTTGTCTGTCTCGTTTCTTCAAATCACTTATCTCTTCTTTCAGTTGACTATTGATGGCTTTCATCCGAATGACTTCTCTTATCRGGTTACTCATTCGTCCACTTTCATCAATATCTCTGGAAACAAAGTTTGCATGTCAAAAACGTTTCTCTACTTACTACTTCATTCATATTTCTGATTTTGCTTGGTTTACGCCCCTTCATGAATCGTTACTAGCATTATTCTAGCATACTTATTATACGTACAATATCCGGTGTCCCTCAGAGCAGCATACTGGGACCACTCTAGTTATTACAAAAATCAATGTTTTCTGAAAAAATACCTGAGGTAGATAACCCATTTACAATGAAAAATACTGAACATGTTGTATAGGATGATTGAAGTAAGCATACCTTTGAATTTCGACTTCTGATACATTAGTCTCTCCATGTTGTCTCGCAGCTCCAGAGTTGACTGTTCTATGATCATCCTCCTGTGGTGCTCTGCTTTCTCTTGCTGCTGTTATACTCACATTTGAAACGCATGCGCTAGAAGCACACCTAGTAGAACTGATCTGCGCATGTGCTCTTGTTCGAGGCAGGCGTTGCACGTCTAATGGAATCATTCAAATCGGAATTCAGAGAAAATATTTATATTACAATGCTGGCTTGTTCATTTAAAAATAGATAATATATTTTAGCTACTTGCCGCGTGTATCCTCTCCACGCACTCAGTTAGTGAGCAGTGTTCTCATATTTAATTTCAGTTTTATTAGAAGCATAACACTACCTACCTGGAGAATCAGGTCTTTCCCATTCAAATGCACTTTGCCTGTTGTATCATTTCAAAAAAAAAGTAAATTTAGGCTGAGCATTTTCACATTAAAGTTATCCTATCTACTAGGCTGAGCATTTTGTAAAAATCACATTAAAGCTAGTTATCCTATCTACTCATGCTCAATATGACATGGCCGGGACGGTTTGTCATAGTTAGCTAAGGTATAATCTGGTAGATCAAAAGGGAAAAAAATCAATAACTTATCTCCCAAATCGTATTGTATAAGCCAACATATTACTGGCTCGATTTACACCTTTTAACTTGATTTATTTCAAATCAATGTTTCGTAAGGGCATACACACGACCTTTGAGGGAAAAATCGGAAAAAACATCACTACCCTTTTCCTTGCATTTGTTTCATATTTTGCCGGACTAAGCACCTTTGTAAGGTGTAAGCTGGGCTCTTAAAAGTACGCAGTGCCTATTAGGACGCAAATAGTGGTGGACGTGGAAAGATTTTAAAGACATTCATATCGGGGCAGACAGAATAATATGCGAAGAACTGACTTTCCAAATACATAGAATATAATACCTATGAACACAGCTATCTCGACTGTCGATTCTAACAACTCCTTCCCAGTCAACATTTGGAACACTGACATTTCGAGGAACAATCGGAACTCTGGGCACCTGCGTAAGCAATGGACAAGTTATAAAAAAAGGATTTACGTATTTTCTGGTTTATAAGCTTTAAAATGATATATAGTTTGTTATCCTGTACTGTAACGACACGTCCAAAACAATTTTTAATCGAGGGTACCCCGCGAAGGTTGACAATAACATTAAGGGATCAACCATGAATGAATGACTGAATGGATAAGTAGATGGAGGAAGGGAGGGAAAAAAAGAAGTAAACATGGGGGCAAAGAAAGTAATCTTTGATTCGGGTTACATTACTTGTCTTGATGACGTAATAGATCGTCTAATTATTGAGCGGTAGTAGTTATTGTCGATGACTGCGCTGCTGGATGATGGTCTGCTTTGATCGTTTGAGGAAGACGTACAGGCTCTGGACGTGGAACTCTTCTTCAAATAGAAATAAAACCAGATTGAGATGGATACTATGAGGATGTATTGAAATAATTACACCATGGTAAACAGTATATAAACAACAACATCTAGTAACAGTAGTAAAATTGCAATCAAGATAAAGCTGGATTAAAGGCTAATTGGTGGAATTTTTTCCCATTTCAGACCACGTGTCATTCCCAACAGTACCATTTCTTTGATTAACGGTGTAGAGAGAATAAAAGAAAAATATCAAATGCTCTTGACGGGTATCGAACCCACGTCTTCGGTATTCCAGTCCGATGTGTTAACCACTACATCACAAAGACCAACCACGCTGGTAACGCAGCCGGAATATGAAATGTAGGGTGCTCGTGAGGATCCCAGAGCGATATTTTTTTCTCTACAGTGCACCGATTAACGGTGCACTGGGTAGCGCAAGAGAATACAAATGAATATGAATACAACTCAAACTAAGGATCCTATTCTCATGTGGTCTGAAATGGGGAAACATCGCAACAAGATCAATATGGTATATTGAATATAAAATAGAAAGACAAGCAGAAAAACCCCAAATGATAAATTGCTGAACACGTTTGTACGTGAATAAAACAGTGCGCAAACTTAAACAGTTAGAACGACAAAGAAAACGAAAGGAACGTACGACATACAGCAAAGGTTACTAATAAAGGCTGCTAAAATATGTAACCATTTATTTGATTTTTAAACACCAACAACATATTTTATGCTGTCGAAAGTACTGTAAGACGTCAGCATGCCTTACCTTTGAAACCGGGCTTGCAGGAATAGACCCAGAGCAACTTGGTCGAGCTAAACTTGATCCTTCGTGAACTGGACCTCGCCATCCTTTAAATTTGGGATCAAATGTAGACCTGCGCTTTCTAGCAGTTTTTTCATGATCTGTTTTGGAAATACAGAAAATAATAAGTCATACGCAGTAAATAAATTCCTTTTACRCAAATGCCACAAACTTTCCACTCAAAATGTAAAGCAGTGTTAATTAATGCTCCGACAATCACATATACGACCCACCAACCACATGTGATAAGTGCGCACTATTACCATACACCCTAGACGACCCACCAACCACATGTGATAAGT